ATTCATTGAAATGTTGGTTTAGGTGCAAGATGAGAAAAAACGACTACAAGGGTTTAAGTGAGAGGTGTAACTGGTGTCTCCAAGTGTCCACACACCTCTCCAAACTGTGCACAGTTCCTTATACTTTTATGACTTTTCTGAGCTATACTAGCTTTGCCATTGAAGATCTGAAGCAAACACACATCGTTTTCTATTTGGAACACAGCCCTACGTCCCCACCATCACACAATTACAGTTGTTGTTTACACAATCAAAAAACGCTCAATTTTATATCGCAATGTGGATCATGTGCTCCTACTTCTAAAAATCCACCTTTCCAGAAATAAGTCTCTCACTGTTGCCGCTTGCTACAGACCCCCCTCAGCCCCCAGCTGTGCCCTGGACACCATATGTGAATTGATTACCCCCCATCTATCCTCAGAGTTCGTAGTGCTTGGTGACCTAAACTGGGATATGCTTAACACCCCAGCCATCCTACAATTCATACTAGATGCCCTCAATCTCACACAAATTATCAAGGAACCTACCAGGTACAACCCTAAATCCGTAAACATGGGCACCCTTATAGATATCATCCTGACTAACTTACCCTCTAAATACACCTCCGCTGTCTTCAACCAGGATCTGAGCGATCACTGCCTTATTGCCTGCGTCCGTAACGGGTCCGCGGTAAAACGACCACCCCTCATCACTGTCAAACGCTCCTTAAAACACTTTAGCGAGCAGGCCTTCCTAATTGACCTGGCCCAGGTATCCTGGATGGATATCGATCTCATTCCGTCCAGTAGAGGATGCCTGGTTGTTCTTTAAAAGTGCTTTCCTCTCAATCTCAAATAAGCATGCCCCATTCAAAAAATGCAGAACAAGAACAGATATAGCCCCTGGTTCTCCTCAGACTTGACTGCCCTTGACCAGCACAAAAACATCCTGTGGCGTACTGCATTAGCATCGAATAACCCCCGCGATATGCAACTTTTCAGGGAAGTTAGGAACCAATATACACTAGCAGTTAGGAAAGGCTAGCTTTTTCAAACAGAAATTTGCATCCTGTAGCACTGACTCCAAAAAGTTTTGGGACACTGTAAAGTCCATGGAGAATAAGAGCAGCTCCTCCCAGCTGCCCACTGCACTGAGGCTAGGAAACACTATCACCACCGATAAATCTATAATAATCGATAATTTCAACAAGCATTTTGCTACGGCTGGCAATGCTTTCCACCTGGCTACCACTACCCCGGCCACCAGCTCTGCACCCTCCGCTGCAACTTGCCCATGCCCCCCCCCCCCGCTTCTCCTTCACACAAATTCAGACAGCTGATGTTCTGAAAGAGCTGCAAAATCTGGACCCCTACAAATCATCTGGGCTAGACAATCTGGACCCTTTCTTTCTAAAATTAGCCGCCGAAATTGTCGCAACCCCTATTACTAGCCTGTTCAACCTCTCTTTCGTAACGTCTGAGATCCCCAGAGATTGGAAAGCTGCTGCGGTCATCCCCCTCTTCAAAGGGGGTGACACTCTAGATCCAAACTGTTACAGACCTATATCCATCCTGCCCTGCCTTTCGAAAGTTTCTGAAAGCCAAGTTAACAAACAGATCACCGACCATGTCAAATCACACCGTACCTTCTCCGCTATGCAATCCGGTTTCCGAGCTGGTCATGGGTGCACCTCAGCCACGCTCAAGGTCCTAAACGATATTATAACCGCGATCAATAATAGACAGTACTGTGCAGCCGTCTTCATCGACCTGGCCAAGGCTTTCGACTCTGTCAACCACCGCATTCTTATTGGCAGACTAAATAGCCTTGGTTTCTCAAATGACTGCCTCGCCTGGTTCACCAACTACTTCTCAGATAGAGTTCAATGTGTCAAATCGGAGGGCCTGTTGTCTGGACCTATGGCAGTCTCTATGGGGGTGCCACAGGGTTCAATTCTTGGGCCGACTCTTTTCTCTGTGTATATCAATGATGTCGCTCTTGCTGCAGGTGATTCTCAGATCCACCTCTACGCAGACGACACCATTTTGTATACATCTGGCCCTTCATTGGACACTGTGTTAACAAACCTCCAAACGAGCTTCAATGCCATACAACACTCCTTCCGTAGCCTCCAACTGCTCTTAAACACAAGAAAACTAAATGCATGCTCTTCAATCGAACGCTGCTGGCACCCGCCCACCCGACTAGAATCACTACTCTCGACGGGTCTGACCTAGAGTATGTGGACAACTACAAATACCTAGGTGTCTGGTTAGACTGTAAACTCTCCTTCCAGACTCACATTAAGCATCTCCAATCCAAAGTTAAATCTAGAACCAGCTTCCTATTTCGCAACAAAGCCTCCTTCACTCATGCTGCCAAACATACCCTCGTAAAACTGACTATCCTACCGATCCTTGACTTCGGCGATATCATTTACAAAATAGCCTCCAACACTCTACTTAGCAAATTGGATGTAGTCTATCACAGTGCCATCCGTTTTGTCACCAAAGCCTCATATACTACCCACCATTGTGACCTGTCCGCTCTTGTTGGCTGGTCCTCACTACATATTCGTCGCCAAACCCACTGGCTCCAGGCCATCTATAAAACACTGCTAGCCAAATCCCCGCCTTATTTTAGCTCATTGGTCACCATAGCAACACCCACCCGTAGTATGCGCTCCAGCAGGTATATCTCACTGGTCATCCCCAAAGCCAACACCTCCTTTGGCCGCCATTCCTTCCAGTTCTCTGCTGCCAATGACTGGAACGAACTGCAAAAATCTCTGAAGCTGGAGACTCTTATCTCCCTCATTAACTTTAAGCATCAGTTGTCAGAGCACCTTACCGATCACTGCACCTGTACACAGCCCATCTGAAATTAGCCTACCCAACTACCTCATCCCCATATTGTTATTTATTTTGCTCATTTGCACCCCAGTATCTCTATTTGCACATCATCTCTTGCACATCTATCATTCCAGTGTTAATACTAATTGTAATTATTTTGCACTATGGCCTATTTATTGCCTTACCTCCATAACTTGCTACATTTGCACACACTGTATATATATTTTTCTTTTGTTTTACCCATATGTAACTCTGTGTTGTTGTTTTTATCGCACTGCTTTGCTTTATCTTGGCCAGGTCTCAGTTGTAAATGAGAACTTGTTCTCAACTGGCTTACCTGGTTAAATAAAGATAAATAAAAAATGTGGGCATCATTTGAAAGCTTATTCTATTGCCAACATGGCTAGCTAAGTTATAAAATACAATCTTACATTGTTAGGCTTTCAAAAGGCACTTCAGACAAACAGATTGTAATTTTGGTGTGCATACAATGGAGTCATGAGTGCATTCAAGTGCGTGTACCGGAGCTAATTTTCTTCACAAGACGACAAACATAGGCTCATTCTGTTCAGGACAACCCTGTCCCAGAGTATAACGCATGTCATCCTTGTAACTGTAGATCAAATTGTGATCATAAACGTTGATACTGTAAATGAGAGGAGTTTCAAATATGGAAATGTGAAGTGCATATTTGGACTCACGGGTGTGTGGTGTGCTTGTATGACATCAAAGCGGTATTTATTATAATCCTCAATGTCTCATCTTTCAGAACGCATAGACTCCTCTCCATTTACAGCATTTCCCTCACTCAGACAACAACAAAATGCAAAAGTATCCCAATTAGCAGGAGGGAAGGGGGCATCTTCTTGTCACGCTCGGTGCTCAAGAATCAGAACGGCTGTCAGTCAAAACCCATACAGCACTGTGAAGCGGAGAACCTGAGCTCTGACGTCATGTATAGCAGGTTATTGTACAGCCACTGCATTCCAATTTAGGCGCTTATCAATGACTAAATCTGCCATTTTCAACCCGTATATGTAATGACAAGGGCTGTGAGTGGAAAGGTCTACTCTTTGTGTCAACAGAAAGTGAAAAAGTTTAAGTCCGTCCCATTTAGTTTTAGTTTTTTATTAGACATAACAATGTCACAAACAGCAGTTAGTATGAAAAGTACATTCAAAATGTGCAGTTGACCATGCGTCAAAATCAAGATACACTTTCAAAACCATTTCCTCTTTTGTAACAATCAATATGTATTTTGTCGACAATTTACAAAATCATATAGTGATATTTCACTCATTGAACCAACCACTCACCATCAAAACATACATACTTCAATAAGGAAATTTGAACAATTACTCTTTTTTAATATAGGCTGCTTTACCTAATATGCACAGAGGCTTTTTTGCATTATACCTTCCATCACCACAAACTTTAATGTAATCCAGTACCATTTTCTCTCCAGTCCCAGTCCCGTTCATATTAGCTTAGGTAAGGAGAGTGATTATGAAGTGGGAACAGAGGCTTGGGCCTGCGTCCCAAATGGCACCCTATTCCCTATGCAGTGAGCTAAATAGGGAATAGGGTGTGATTTGGGACGTAACCAGTATTCATCTGAAATAGTCATGATAAGACTGACTGCAATTCCCTGGCATCTCCATCTCTTTTTCCAGTAACTCCAGGACACGAGGTAAGAAAGGAAGCAAACACTTTCACTGAAAAGCCAACACTTTTACATGTCCACTTATAATGAAGGCCTTTCACTAGCAGAGGCCTACCATACCAAGCACGTTAGACTAGACAATAACACATATCTGTTCTGTATCTGTACACATTAGGGAAGATCATAGGGCCCTGGTCAAAATTAGTGCACTACATAGGAAATAGGATGCCATTTAGGACGCAACCACAGTCTTCAGATATAGCAGTTCATTTACTGTATTATCCCCCAAACACAGGTTTGTTTTGATGCTTCCCAATACCAGTCATGTGACATACTGACTGACCACTGTTGATGATTTCACTAGGGTCAAAGGGTAGATCTGGAAGAAGAAGGGGCGGGGCTCCAGTTCTAGCGAGGGAGGAAGGACAGGGAGGGTGACCTGTTCGTGTCCAAAATTGCACCTTATTCCCTTTATAACGCATTACTTTTGACAGGTCAAAGACTCTGGTCAAAAGTAGTGCATTATATAGTTCCCAGATCCGATCGTGGTGAATTATTAAGTAGGGGAAATATAGTTAATACACATGACTATGTCCCATCCAGTTGATCCAGGGGTCCCCTCCGAGAGACCCCGTACATCATTTTGGGGTCCCCTCAGAGAGCCCCCATATTTAATACTGATTCTGTATCCATACCACTGAGGCTTTATACTGTACATCACAAAATTCAGAGGTCAAGTCAACAGTCAACGTTCCACAACACTGAGAATATCCAGTTCAGAGGTTCAGCTTAATATTCCAACACAAAGCAATGAGAGTAGTCCTTATACAGACGACCAAGAATGGTCTATATTCTACCACATGGTAGTAGGATATGGGCTTCCATTGACTTGACAGAGGGAGATCAGACCACCCAGCCAGTCAGTCATTTAGTGGGTAGTTAGTTGTTGTTGTTTGAATGATCTGGATTGAGCTGTGCTTCCTGTGTTGTGATGTCATCAGAGAAAGCCAGAAGTCACTCCAGCGGTTTCTTTAACGCCAGTGTATCCCACAATCCTCTCCTTCTGTTCCACTCCAGTCCAAAACAATGCAAGTCTTATTCACCAAGCTCTTGTTGTATGTAGTATGTACTTAATACTGGCCATAGGAATCCAGTGTAGATCACAGTTATACCCTGAATACTCAAATCCACTGGATCACATCATACACGGAGGGCAATCCATCCACGCAATTCACACTGCACTCCGTCCGTCATCAAGGCGATGACGATACGGTCCTAGATCCAGCCAGCTCACCAACCAACCAACAAATCAATCAACCAATCAAGACCCTCCCCCTGAAGCAATTGAACCTCCCTGCTACTCACAGCAGGAATGGCAACCAAAGTGAATGAAATCTGTATTTATTTACATCATACTCAGCTCTCTCAAAATGTTAAGTGCAAAGTCGTTCACAAGTTTCCTTTATTCATCTTATTATCAAATGAACAATAATTACATTTTTGTTTTTCTTTCTTTAAATTGCTTGGTCCACAGCAGCAATGTTTCAGTCACAAAAATAAGCGGTATTGGGTGAGTCCGACCAGTTACCAGACCATCCCCTTCCTCTTCCACAGGAGTTTACCTCAGATGTCGTCCTTAGATGTTCCTTTTCTACCTGCCAAATATGTTCTCGTACTCCAGTAAGATGAGCTCAACAATCTGGTTCTGATAGACCATGTGAACAGCGATGTTTCCCGTCTCGGTCTCAGGTCTGAGCAGGGTAGGGCCGAAGACGATCGCTACACTCTGCGTCGTCATACGGTTGGCCTCTCCGTGGTCTATCACCCTGGAGAGAGACAGGAAGGAGAGAGGAGGAAAGAGTGGGATACAGGGACGGACTGCGAGCAGAAATCGGCTCGGCATTTCTAACACAAAGGCACATTTTTTCCTTGAGGCCCCCATTATTAACCAAATAATGATCATTCTGCACAAAACCCCCAATTTAGACAGGCCCACTGGGCTAAAGATGGACAAGCCCATCTGGCATTTTCCCGAACTCCCCTATGGTCAGTCCGTTATGGTGAGATAGGCATATCATTTAGAAAACACATTACAGATGTTGGTTGGTCAACAAAGAGTTCAGGTACACGCTGGAGACAAAACGTGTAAAACATTTATTAAGTAAGCTACTGCTAGTATTTGAAAAACATCAGATGCAAAATACGATATTAAACAACGTCAGGTAATATCGCTGCTTTTAAATGGGAATCAACATCCTTGCATACAGAAACGCTGCTCCACACAATAACATTATTCATTGGAAAACCCAATTAAATCCCCTTGTCTCATATACATAGTCTGCATCCCAAATGGCACCCTGTTCCCTATATAGTGCACTACTTTTGACCAGAGCCCTAGTGATAAGTAGTGCACTATGTAGGGCATAGGGTGTCATTTGGGATACACTTCCATATAGACAAAATGTCACACAATACATTTCCTAGAAGAAACACCAGATCTAAAGGTATTGCATTACGGCAAACACAGGGCCATATAAATGCAAATAGTGCTTAGGCAAATGTCATTCTGAACATACTGTATGATATAGCCCCGAGCTCTAACGGGCTGAGAAAGAAATATATATATCAGTTTTACTTGAGGACCAAAATGTTGACTGCGGCGCCATACAGGTCGCAAAATAGTTGGGAAGAGATTTTCGATGTGCCGATTCCGTGGCGCATGGTTTATGAACTGATACGCAAAAACAACGCTTGATTCCAAACTTTGAGTTTTTATTATTCACAAACAGAATGTTATGTATATGGGGTATACAACTATCTCAGCTCTGCATATTTTGCTACAAAGAGACAGAATCACTAGATCACTTATTTTGGTATTGCCGCCATGTAGTTTGTTTCTGGTCACAGGTTCAGGAATGGCTGAAAAATCACAACATTTATCTCAAATGAACCCTACAAATAGCACTGTTGGGAGATTTGGAAAGCCATAGTCAATCAATCAACAATATGATAATATTTTTAGTCAAAATATTTATCTTTAACTTTCTGTAGATACTAGGCCGATTAGACAGGTTCAGAATTTAAGTGAAACATCTCAGCATAGTTGAAAAATATATGGCTCATGGAAATCATAAGACAGCATTTTACAGAGACAGGTGGGATGGACTGAGAGTAGCTGAGAGGTGGACTTAAAAGCTAATGTTCTATAATAGTTATGACTGAAAACACGATGTGTAATGTATAAGTACTATCTATCAAGATGTAATGTATATCAAAATATCAAATTACCTTATTCTTGCTCTGTAACAATGGTAAAAATAAATAAAATAAACTGCCATGTATGTAAAATGTGTGCAGAATGTACAAAATAACGTTTATTTTTGTCCTCAAAAAAAAAAAATATATATATATATATTTTCCCCGTTTTTTTCTTTCTCCTTCCTTCTCGCCTCCTTCTTTTTACATTTACATTTTAGTAATTTAGCAGACGTTCTTATCCAGAGCGACTTACAGTTAGTGAGTGCATACATTTTCATACTGGCCCCCAGTGGGAAACGAACCCACAACCCTGGCGTTGCAAGCGCCATGCTCTACCAACTGAGCTACAGTTAAGGAGGAAATCGAAGCCTGAATGGAGAATTCTTTATGTACGAACCGGTCGCCGGGGAGCACATCAAGCATCAAGCCCAGACGATAGTGGAGATCCATAAAGTCCGCTAGCGGCTTCCCAGGCTACTATTAAACAGACTAGCACAATGAATTATGAGCTGGGTCTTGTCATACATCAGAGAGTATTGACTTTAGCTTAGCAGAAATGTAGGATGCTTTTTGCTTACCTTCTGAGATGCTTGAAGAGGCATTGCATTGTGTCGTGATTCGGTTTTGGCAACTGCTTGATTAAGTCTTTTATCAAATTCACTCGCTGCTTGTAGTCTGAGAATTCTGGAACAGAGGGAAAAATGTAAAACCATTAGTTTCATTGCAAACGGAAAAACACAGCATTTACATGATCCGGATTAGGGTTGCAAAGGGAGGGTATATTACTGGAAACTTTCTAAGTTTACCAGTAAACGACCAGCATTTTGGTAACATTCAAGGATTTTATGTAATTTATCACAAGACATCTAGTGTCCCTTTTGGGTACTTCAGATTATCACAGGCGTCTGTAATTATCTCTGGCCCACTTTGAGGCCTTATCACATGTAAAACATATAAAATAATCAAATAAGATGATTTTCAAATAAAAAATAGAATGACAAAGCTGTAAAACATGATCCTAAATATAAACCATCAACTTAGTGAATACCTTTGGTGCTTAATATGAGGGTTTCAGCATGAAATAGCCTTTATTTATTTATTTTACAATGTCAATATGTCTTTGTTGTAAATGTTTCGGAGCCAAACTAGTGGCATTTGCACAAAACAAAAGTCAATAGTTGGAAGAGTTGCAGAGTTAATTAAAAATAATGCCATTGTTTTTTTCATTAATTAGGCTATTTTCTCTTTAACCATATGGCCTATCCAATAGACACTCATGGACAATATATACAAAGATATAAAAAAATGAATATTATACTGTACAGTACCAGTCAAAAGTTTGGACACACCTACTCATTCCAGGGTTTTTCTTTATTTTTACTATTTTCTACATTGTAGAACAGAAGATAGCCCTAAAAGACCAAGTCCATATCATGGCAAGAACAGCTCAAATAAGCAAAGAGAAATGACAGTCCATCATTACTTTAAGACATGCAGGTCAGTCAATACGGAAAATTGCAGTTGCAAAAACCATAAAGCGCTATGATGAAACTGGCTCTCATGAGGACCGCCACAGGAAAGGAAGACCCAGGGTTACCTCTGCTGCAGAGGATAAGTTCATTAGAGTTAACTGCACCTCAGATTGCAGCCCAAATAAATGCTTCACAGAGTTCAAGTAACAGACACATCTCAACATCAACTGTTCAGAGGAGAATGCGTGAATCAGGCCTTCATGGTCGAACTGCTGCAAAGAAACCACTACTAAAGGACACCAATAAGAAGAATTCAAGGCACACTTAACCAGCATGGCTACCACTGCATTCTGCAGCGATACGCCATCCCATCTGGTTTGCGCTTAGTGGGACTATAATTTGTTTTTCAACAGGACAATGACCCAAAACACAGTGAAGGAAGGAAAAGCAGCCAACAAGTGCTCAGCATACAGTGGGGGAAAAACGTATTTAGTCAGCCACCAATTGTGCAAGTTCTCCCACTTAAAAAGATGAGAGAGGCCTGTAATTTTCATCATAGGTACACGTCAACTATGACAGACAAAATGAGAAAAAAAAATCCAGAAAATCACATTGTAGGATTTTTAATGAATTTATTTGCAAACTATGGTGGAAAATAAGTATTTAGTCAATAGCAAAAGTTTCTCAATACTTTGTTATATACCCTTTGTTGGCAATGACACAGGTCAAACGTTTTCTGTAAGTCTTCACAATGTTTTCACACACTGTTGCTGGTATTTTGGCCCATTCCTCCATGCAGATCTCCTCTAGAGCAGTGATGTTTTGGGGCAGTCGCTGGGCAACACAGACTTTCAACTCCCTCCAAAGATTTTCTATGGGGTTGAGATCTGGAGACTGGCTAGGCCACTCCAGGACCTTGAAATGCTTCTTACGAAGCCACTCCTTCATTGCCCGGGCGGTGTGTTTGGGATCATTGTCATGCTGAAAGACCCAGCCACGTTTCATCTTCAATGCCCTTGCTAATGGAAGGAGGTTTTCACTCAAAATCTCACGATACATGGCCCCATTCATTCTTTCCTTTACACGGATCAGTCGTCCTGGTCCCTTTACAGAAAAACAGCCCCAAAGCATGATGTTTCCACCCCCATGCTTCACAGTAGGTATGGTGTTCTTTGGATGCAACTCAGCATTCTTTGTCCTCCAAACACGACGAGTTGAGTTTTTACCAAAAAGTTCTATTTTGGTTTCATCTGACCATATGACATTCTCCCAATCCTCTTCTGGATCATCCAAATGCACTTTAGCAAACTTCAGACGGGCCTGGACATGTACTGGCTTAAGCAGGGGGACACGTCTGGCACTGCAGGATTTTGAGTCCCTGGCGGCGTAGTGTGTTACTGATGGTAGGCTTTGTTACTTTGGTCCCAGCTCTCTGCAGGGATTTTTGGCGTGGTTCTGGGATTTTTGCTCACCGTTCTTGTGATCATTTTGACTCCACGGGGTGAGATCTTGCGTGGAGCCCCAGATCGAGGGAGATTATCAGTGGTCTTGTATGTCTTCCATTTCCTAATAATTGCTCCCACAGTTGATTTCTTCAAACCAAGCTGCTTACCTATTGCAGATTCAGTCTTCCCAGCCTGGTGCAAGTCTACAATTTTGTTTCTGGTGTCCTTTGACAGCTCTTTGGTCTTGGCCATAGTGGAGTTTGGAGTGTGACTGTTTGAGGTTGTGGACAGGTGTCTTTTATACTGATAAGTTCAAACAGGTGCCATTAATACAGGTAACGAGTGGAGGACAGAGGAGCCTCTTAAAGAAGAAGTTACAGGTCTGTGAGAGCCAGAAATCTTGCTTGTTTGTAGGTGACCAAATACTTATTTTCCACCATAATTTGCAAATAAATTCATTAAAAATCCTAAAATGTGATTTTCTGGAAAAAAAATCTCAATTTGTCTGTCATAGTTGACGTGTACCTATGATGAAAATTACAGGCCTCTCTCATCTTTTTAAGTGGGAGAACTTGCACAATTGGTGGCTGACTAAATACTTTTTTCCCCCACTGTATGTGGGAACTCCTTCAAGACTGTTGGAAAAGCATTCCTCATGAAGCTGGTTGAGAGAATGCCAAGAGTGTGCAAAGCTGTCATCAAGGCAAAGGGTGGCTACTTTGAAGAATCTAAAAGCTAAAATATATTTTGATTTGTTTCACACTTTTTGGTTACTACATGATTCCATATGTGTTATTTCATAGTTTTGATGTCTTCACTATTATTCTACAATGTAGAAAATAATAAAAATAAAGAAAAACCCTTGAATGAGTATGTGTACAAACCTTTGACTGGTACAGTATATGAATACATTTATTAAACATTATTCACGTATAAATTACCAAAGTTAACATAGATTGCCATAAATTACCTGTTAATTACCAAAATTACAGAAGATTCCGGTAATTTTGGTAAATTACCGGTAGTTTTGCATCCCTAATCCTTAATCCTGATTGATTTGTGTGAATTCAAATGATAAGGGTGCCATCTTGTGGACACATTTAAAACAGAACACAGTTGGAATCACCCAAACCAAGTGGTAAATTCAGCATATGAAGTCAATTATGTCTTAATGGGCATTGTCTTTAGGCAAACCATCAATCCTTAATTTAACCATTATAAATAGTGGCTCAGTAGACAGGCATATAATGTATACGTCATAGAATTAGAAATTAGAATAGGAATTCGTAATTTAATAGGATCTTTATGGTACATGTGTTGTCAAATCAAATCGTATTTGTCACATGTGCTGAATACAACAGGTGTAGACCTTACAGTGAAATGCTTACTTACAAGCCCTTAACCAACAATGCAGTTTTAAGAAAGAACACCTAAAAAAAAAAAAAAAAAATGTAACAAATAATTACAGAGGAGCAGTAAAATAACAGTAGCGAAATAACAATAGCGAGGCTATATACAGGGGGTACCGGCACAGAGTCAATGTGCGGGGGCAGCGGTTAGTCGAGGTAAGTGTTTGTAATACAGCACAGTGAAGTCTGTAACAGTGTGGTCAAGTGTGTTACTACTCACTGATGGCGTTGATAAAGTCGTTGAAGGAGTCGTAGGTGAAAAGGGGTTCAGGCAGCTCTCTGAATAACATCTTCAGGGCTCCTGTAGTCACGTGGATGTCTTCCCACTTACTGTCATCCAGCTCTACCTTCTCATCTGGAACACACACAAACAAGGTTTGCACTTTTAGTACTATTCCATTGGTTCCATGGACTATTCCATTGCTACCAAAAGAAAACAAAAACGATTTGGGCCCTACCGTGATTGACAGCAAAGCGCAGCTTCTGTATCACGGCTAGGTTCCCACTCACTCTGTATATCCCATCTATACTCAGACCTGCAGAAGAGAGGAGAGGGTCAGAGACACAAAGACAATAGGACAGAGACATAGAGGAGAGGGGGAGAGAGAAAGATACAGAGACAGCAATAACTCATTCAGTACACATAATGGACACAAAATGGCAAATGTTTTAAAGGCAGAAAGAGGGAACAGAGACAGGTCATACCTGTGTTTTCCACATGGTCGATGCACATGGTGACAAAAGTGGGCACCGAGGTGTTCTCCCTCTGACACAGGCTGCCCAGGCTGCAGCCAAATACCTGGTCTTTGACGCAACACAAAGCAAAAGAAGGATGTTTTCAATCACAAAAAAAGAGAGACGGGCATGTCAAATGTCAATATACCTTTATAGGAACTAAGCGTCCGGCTATCTGGTTTTCTTTGGTTATATTTGGGCTGGCAGTGACGCCATCTATACCTTTAATGTAGCCTTTGTCTCTGATGGCCTGGTAGGTGGGTCGGCGGGTCAGGAACTTCTTCAGCTTCACTCTGGTCTTCTTCTGGTCCGAGGAGTCCATACTCACAGACGTCTTCATTGCTGAAACCATATGGAAGAAAATGACTAAACAGGTACTAAGAGGGCATTTGGTGACAAAACATTTTTAGATCACTGACACTCGCACAAACACACACACACACGCAAACATTCTCACACACACGCACCCGCACACACACAAGCGCGCCAGTGTTCATTCAGATTTAGTCTTTGTCATTTTGACTAAAATACAGTGGCTTGCGAAAGTTTTCACTCCCCTTGGCATTTTTCCTATTTTGTTGCCTTACAACCTCGAATTAAAATGGATTTTTGGGGGGGTTTGTATCATTTGATTTACACAACATGCCTACCAATTTGAAGATGCAAAATACTTTTCGGGGTGAAACAAACAAGAAATAAGACAAAAAACAGAAAACTTGAGCGTGCATAACTATTAACCCCCCCTCCCCCCCAAAGTCAATACTTTGTAGAGCCATCTTTTGCAGCAATTACAGCTGCAAGTATCTTGGGGTATGTCTCTATAAGCTTGGCACATCTAGTCACTGGGATTTTTGCCCATTCTGCAAGGCAAAACTGCTCCAGTTCCTTCAAGTTGGATGGGTTCTGCTGGTGTACAGCAATCTTTAAGTCATACCACAGATTCTCAATTGGATTGAGGTCTGGGCTTTGACTAGGCCATTCCAATACATTTAAATGTTTCCCCTTAAATCACTCGAGTGTTGCTTTAGCAGTATGCTTAGAGTCATTGTCCTGCTGGAAGGTGAACCTCCGTCCCAGTCTCAAATCTCTGGAAGACTGAAACAGGTTTCCCTCAAGAATTTCCCTGTATTCAGCGCCATCCATCATTCCTTCAATTCTGACCAGTTTCCCAGTTCCTGCCGACGAAAAACATCCCCAAAGCAGGATGGTGTTCTCGGGGTGATGAGAGGTGTTGGGTTTGCGCCAGACATCGCGTTTTTGCCTTGATGGCCAAAAAGCTCAATTTTAGTCTCATCTGACCAGAGTACCTTCTTCCATATGTTTGGGGAGTCTCCCACATGCCTTTTGGCGAACACCAAACGTGTTTGCTTATTTTTTTCTTTAAGCAATGGCTTTTTTTTGGCCATTCTTCCATAAAGCCCAGCTCTGTGGAGTGTACGGCTTAAAGTGGTCCTATGGACAGATACTCCAATCTCCGCTGTGGAGCTTTGCAGCTCCTTCATGGTTATCTTTGGTCTCTTTGTTGCCTCTCTGATTAATGCCCTCCTTGCCTGGTCTGTCAGATTTGGTGGGCGGTCCTCTCTTGGCAGGTTTGTTGTGGTGCCATATTCTTTCAATTTTTTAAATAATGGATTTAATGGTGCTCCGTGGGATGTTCAAAGTTTTGTATATTTTCTTATAACCCAATCCTGATCTGTACTTCTCCACAACTTTGTCCCTGACCTGTTTGGAGAGCTCCTTGGTCTTCATGGTGCCGCTTGCTTGGTGGTGCCCCTTGCTTAGTGGTGTTGCAGACTCTGGATCCTTTCAGAACAGGTGTATATATACTGAGATCATGTGACAGATCATGTGACACTTAGATTGCACACAGGAGGACTTCATTTAACTAATTATGTGACTTCTGAAGGTAATTGGTTGCACCAGATCTTATTTAGGGGCTTCATAGCAAAGGGGGTGAATACATTACCTTTACATTTACATTTACGTCATTTAGCAGACGCTCTTATCCAGAGCGACTTACATTATTATAATTTTTTTCATACCCCCTGTGGGAATCGAACCCACAACCCTGGCGTTGCAAACGCCATGCTCTATCAACTGAGCTACATCCCTGCCGGCCATTCCCTCCCCTACCCTGGACGACGCTGGGCCAATTGCGTGCCGCCCCATGGGTCTCCCGGTCACGGCCGGCTACGACAGAGCCTGGCATATGCACGCACCACTTTTCCGTTACTTATTTTTTTAAATTTTTTGAAACAAGTTATTTTTTTCATTTCACTTCACCAATTTGGACTATTTTGTGTATGTTCATTGCATGAAATCCAAATAAAAATCAATTTAAACTACAGGTTGTAATGCAACAAAATAGGAAAAATGCCAAGGGGGATGAATACTTTTGCAAGGCACTGTATCATGTGGTCCTCTGTAGCTCAGCTGGTAGAGCGCGGCGCTTGTAACGCCAAGGTAGTGGGTTCGATCCCCGGGACCACCCATACACAAAAAAAATGTATGCACGCATGACTGTAAGTCGCTTTGGATAAAAGCGTCTGCTAAATGGCATATTATTATTTATTATTAAGTCGTAGTCACATTTTTGTCATTTGAATAATGATTTAGTCTAGTTATTGTCAAAAAAATAGTTTTAATAAACTAAATGCCCTTTCATTTTAGTCACATCACATTTGTATTGCCTCATTAACCTATAGTAAACATAAATCACTGACCTCCATGTGCACAAACATACATAGCCTGGTCCTACCAACATATGTTTCTATTCTCTTCCCAACAGCAGAAATATGACAAACATATATAAGAATTATTTGTCCATGCAAATTCCTAATTCAGCCTACATAGATATTGCACATTACATTCAAAACAAACAGACACACACACAATCAGAGAGAGAGAGAGAGAGAGAGAGAGAGAGAGAGAGAGAGAGAGAGAGAGAGAGAGAGAGAGAGAGAGAGGAGAGAGAGATAAGAGAGAGAGAGAGAGAGAGGAGAGAAGGAGAGGGAGAGGAGAGGAACGAGAGGGAGGGAGGGAGAGATAGAGAGAGAGAGAGAGAGAGAGAGAGAGAGAGAGAGAGGGAGAGAGAGAGACCAGATGGTGCCGCAAAGTATTGGTAAAGTAGTATGGGTTGCACCTCCATCACTTGGTCGCATCATTGCCATTGTTATCAACGTTCCACAGATGCCGCAGCCACATTGATGTCCAAAAGTAGAACGGGGGGCTAATGACTGTTTCGTCCAGTGATGTAGTTGAGTCACTAAACCTTTAGTCCCCTGTGCTCGAGTCCAAGTCAGAGTCATCAGCGCTCAAGTCACGAATCGAGTCACGAGTCCATATGGCTGAAATCTGCATCCCAGTGCTCGAGTCCTGGTCCAAGTGCTCAAGTCTGATTCACTGGGTCCACATTAACTCAAAATAAAGTTATTTACCCAGATATAGCATAGTGGCAAGAGGAATTTAGGCAATACATTTTTTGCTATCCCTTTTCCTTTCTTTCTGTGCCACCAAATGTTTGCATATAGGCTACTGGTAATGTTACCAGGGCCACATTCAGTTAAAAAACATTCTCGAGCATTGCAGATAGAAATTCCATGAACAGAGCCAACGTTATTCCTTATTCAACATATCAGAGAGGCATGTTTGTTCTACATAGCCTACTTCTTTCTGAACATTCCAAAACATTGGAGCCTGCTGAACGCACCCCAGGTTGTTAGCTATAGCTAGCTGATGAGGTAACATGACTGAACAAGGTGTAGCCTAAACAATGGTTAACGGTCAGGTCCGCAAGTAGCCTAGTTTTAGAACGGCCTGTGATATTGCTTTATGAATGTAAAATATGGCAATGCACAATAGAAAGAAAAAACCTTAACGCCATGGGTCATGTCTTTGGAATGATAGCCTAAGGGCTAGAATCAAGCAGTTTTCTCTGAGGAAAAGAGGGATACTTGGCTTCGTTGGCTACAGAACCTGTATATGAAATTAAGTGGGAAAAGTGGGAGGGTTGAGTGAGACTACAAATTCAAAGACAGTCTACTTTTCTAGAGCCTACTCAAGGGAGAGAAAAACATAGCTAGACTGTTTTACTATTAAACTCAATGCTGCTATTGTTTTTAATTTTGATCAGCAGCTTGTGTTTCTTAACCAGGCACAGGGTAGCTAACTAGAAGGCTGGTGGTGACTGGTTGGGAAGGACGTGTCACAGCTGGCGTCCTCCCTACAGGGAAGCAAGAGAGTTGCCTGCGCAATATGTATAATCTGAGGCGGAGCCTGTCTGCCCACACTCATCCCTTGCCCCCCCGCAGCTCACCAGCTGTGACGCATCCTTCCCAATGCTGAACAGAACTGCGCTGCGCATCTGTGCTGCTAATTTTAATTGTGCTTATCACTGAAAAGCGCTCAATCTCTCCAAAAACGATTGTCCAGTCCACTTAGTAGTCAGATTTTAGTCACAGAGATCATTTTGTCTCGTCTCGCTTTAGTCAACTGAAATGAAAAATCATTTTTGTTTAGTTATAGTTTTTTCTGGGTCTATTTTTGCCACTTAAAAATTATGAATATTTTAGTCACTATTTTTGTTGACAAAATTAACACTGACGCGCGAGCGCAACACACACACACACAGCGTATTTAGTCAAGGAACCTCTGTTTTTCTTGGAGTCTCTGTGGTCTTTCTCCTTGTCTTGTTTCTCTGCCCAAGGGGACTCAGGCATGTCCTCCTCTATGGCTTCATCTGACTCCCATGCCTGTCCACACACACAAACAACACAAGTTATTAAAGTCAGCCTGGACCACCTCTGCCCTGAAAGGGTGTGGTACTGAACAGATTACCGATAAATGCATACATTTCAGAAGCCCCTCGTTGTGGATGTTGACAAACCTGACTTGTACTTTACAGAGGTGTGGTACCGTAACTACTATGTTCAGAACTGAGAAGATAGATAGGCTGAGAGGAGAGGTCCACTCACATGTGTACTGATGGTGTCTGTCAGGACTCGGTACCAGTCGTTGATGACGCTGTCGATCTCTGATTGGATCAGCAGGTCCGTCCCCTGACGGGTCTTCAGCTCAATGACGTGCTTCTTGCTGGATTTATCCTTCGAGGCCCAATCCACTGACCCCCCTCTGAGATCCACAGTGAACTCCGGCTTCGACTGGTTAACCCCAAACTTCTACAAGGAAATCAACATTCAGACGATCAGCTGGATAGTAATCAAGGTTAGTAATAGTGGTAAATCTTTCATGAGTACTTTTCACACGGTTATTATTTCAAGTTGCATTAAAAACAACGAAAGCAGTGTTAGGTTACAAGTTAATGTGTTATAGTTGCTAGGTTTACTTGAAGATAAACACAGATTATCATATTCACACCACTGTGTTACAAGCTGGACATTTAGTACTGTATTACGGTGAAGTTAAATTGTTATCACATTTTATCACATTTTTTAAAGCACTGTATTATTGTATGCCTTTTTACACCTTTATCTAGGAAACAGCTCCTCTATTTTCTTTTTCATATATTGTTCTAAAAATACACAGAAACTCAATCATGTATTCTTCATTCTTTGGAACACTCTTCTAGTTTTTACAAACATCACCTCTCAGGCAAACTGGGGTAACCAATCAAGACGATTCAATCTTCAAATCATGATATCAGGAAAAATTATCCAGAGGGAGCGCATGCCTGAAACTCAAAGTTCCCTCCCACCCCCTTGGTCACCCAATCAGATGAGGTTATGAGCAGCAGGCAGGGGATAGGACAGTGTGAGTGTGATGGACAGGCAGAGGGACACATGGGAGACATGCACAGGGACAGAGGAGACATACAGTGGCAGCCTTGGAACACTCATGGACAGAGTGGACATAGGAGACAGCTGGGCGGGGCTTGACCGAACGCTTCCAGTTGGCCAGCAGAGTGAGCAGCAGCTCAGGGATGGAGCCACTACGGTAGGACTTTGGATGAGGAGAGGAAAGGAGAGGAGAGGAGAGGAGAGGAGAGGAGAGGAGAGGAGAGGAGAGGAGAGGAGAGGAGAGGAGAGGAGAGGAGAGGAGAGGAGAGGAGAGGAGAGGAGAGGAGAGGAGAGGAGAGGAGAGGAGAGGGGGAATGATGTCAAATGAGAAATAAAGAGTCACAGACGGATGAAAGGAGAAGGGAGAAGGGAAACTAAAGAGCAAATAGGAAGAGGTATGGTGTACTACTACTAAATGGAGATAGACAGCCAGCCAGGTAGTTCTTAGGCACTACTTTGAAGTAAAATAAAATCCTGCAGGTTATTGGAAAAGTAGGGGAGGCAATTAGCTCAAATTTATTCATTTTTAAATCCAAAAATGTACTTCAACTGTACAAACTCTGCCACATTCTTTCACCCAAGATGGTTCCTAACAAGGCGGCTGATGGGGTACGTACCCAGCTGGTGCCACTCCCCTGTCCTTTAGCGAAGAGCAGCGAGGAGCCCTGTAGTACCGTCCACGACGATGTCCAGTTCTTTCTGTTTGAACCATGTCACAACACAAACATTTATCAACCACGTCACAACACAACCCTTTATTAACCATCAACCAAGTCAGAACACAACCATTTATCAACCACATCCCAACACAACCATTTATCAACCATCAGTCTGTCCATTATTTCAACAAATATATTTATTGTTTTGTTTGTATGATGCTGTATTATCCTCCAATTTCCTCATTACAGAATGATAACAATTTCTAATCTAATCTACATGATCTTTATAATGTATGTTCTCTCAGGTTTACCTGACTTTCTTGCCATTCTCAGTGATTTTGGTGACGTTGAGGACTCCACACTTCTCAGAGGGCTGTGGAGGGAGACAGACAGGAGACGTAAACACAGTCAGACCCAGAAGGTACAAACACACCACACACATACACTCACTGCAAAAAGTGAAATCTAAGCAAGCCTAAATATCTTTTATTGAGTGATAATTCACTTAAAATGTTGTTGTTTTTTCGTACCAAGCTAATTTATCTAACGTCATTGGCAGATCATGTTGCTTATTTTAACCTAAAAAAAGTAATTATCTTATTTCAAGATATTTTTTGTCTTATTAAGGTAAAATATCTTGAAATAAGAAGACAATACCTGTATTAACCATTTTTTTAGGTAAAAAAGTTTTTTTGTGAATTATCACTCAATATAAGATATATATTTAGGCTTCCTTAGATTTCACTTTTTGCAGTGCGCGCGCACACACACACAGCAGGGGAGAGGAAAAACACAGCCAGCGGCGGGTGAGATACAGAAAAATAATAACAATATAATGAGGCTCGTGCCTTGAGCACACACTAACACAAACATACCACTGAGTGTACAAAACATTAGGAATACCTTCCTAATATTGAGTTGCAACCCCTTTTGTCATCAAAAAAATAAAAAAATACGTATGCACTCACTAACTGTAAGTCGCTCTGGATAAGAGCGTCTGCTAAATGACTAAAATGTCAAATGTAAATTCGTCAGGGCATGGACTTTACAAGGTGTCGATTGCGTTCCACAGGGATGCTGGCCCATGTTGATTCCAATGCTGTCCTTTGGGTGGTGGACCATTCTTGATACATAAGGGAAACTGTTGAGCGTGAAAAACCCAGCAGCGTTGCAGTTCTTGACACACTCAAACAGGTGCACCTGGCACCTATTACCATACCCTGTTCAAAGGCACTGAAATATTTTGTCTTGCCCATTCACCCTCTGAATGGCACACATACACAATCCATGTCTCAATTGTCTTTAACCTGTCTCCTACCCTTCATTTACACTATTTGAAGAGGATTTAACAAGTGACATCAATAAGGGATCATAGCTTTCACTGGTCAGTCTATGTCATGGAAAGAGCAGGTGTTCCTAATGTTTTGTACACTCAGTGTATGTACTGATGTACACACATATACACATGACACAAAGACACACACACACACACACACAAAGTACTAGAGGAAATGGGGCAGTGAAAGGGGTGTGATGCCCATATAGACAGACATAGTTCCTTGCAGTAGAGGGTGCTATTACACAGACACAAACTACTGATTCAAACAGTCTGTGCTCAGTGGTCCAACAAGGTGAAAGACATTATCCTAACAGACAAACATTCAACATAAACTAAACTAAAGGATAGGACTATTGGACAGTATAATGGCCTTTGGTTACAGTAGCAGATAGGAGAAACAGAAAGGACACATTCAGGAGAGAAAGACAGATGGATCCAGAGGATAGAGGATGATGAGTAAAGGCAATGCATAGAGTGAGGAGATATAAAATGTTAGATGGATGTTGCATGTTGTGGAGCGAAAGCCAGGGAATACTAACGATTGAGGGGTGCTTGGGAGATGAGGGGCAGAAGTCAAAGTCAGGAGAACTTGGCTTGGGGACTGCAGGCCCACACTCCTACACAATGATACAGACAGAATGATAAAGAACAAGGCCAACATGATGATGATGGAGACTAGAGAAGATAAGCAGAGAAGATTATGGTTAGATTTATGGTTAGTTAGTCAGGAAGAGAAAATTCATCAAGAATCTGGAGCAGAAATCTTTCATGGTACTTAAGCCGGAGTATCTGACGTCAAATTGACAATGGATTTCTAACTGGTTATGCCAATATACAACTAGGTTATTGTGAAGTGGTCGTGTCAACTACTAAGGAAAGATGTTTGTTTGTTTAAAGGCTTTGTTGCACTTTCAGGTTTGACTCACACACAGACAGAGATCAACACAGGACATTTGATTGAGTAAGGGAAATTGATTCAAGATCGAGTTAAGACTTTGTGAGAAGCTCATACACTGCATTTCTGGTTTAAATCAGCAATAGGTAGGTATCTGATCGTTTTCGCTCTGGATTGGTGGAGGTGGGGTAAGAGGGGAGGCGTGAGAGCGAGGGATACTAACTTTACCGCAGTAAAGAGAGCGACCAACTCTCCCCATGTGATGGCCAGAGCCTGAGTTTTTTTTAAAAGAGAACTGTAACAGAACTAGACAGACTTGGATCAAATTATTCTGTCAGATAAGTTCAAATACTAAGGCTGCACCTGATTCACTTATCCAGGTACAATTGAACCAATGGACTCGTCCCAAAGAGAATGCTTTGAAAGCAAGGTTTAGCCTACATCGCATCTGACTGGGATTTGTCAATGAGAGGAGTAGCTAGTGGATTACCCTGTGTGACTCGTATCCTCTTCACACCCACACAGAGTTAATATAAGAGCCCAAGGTATTCAGGGATTAAACTCACTGAGACCCAAGCAAGGCCAAGAGGATGCAAAGGGACAACATACTGGCCAGACTGACCCCCTGTTGTGCTGATCAGACAAACTACTGACCAGATGGCTTAGATAGGGTTCAAGAACACTCTTACAGAGCAGCGTCAAACTTATTTACAGCATCAAAACAAGTGGTGACTGGTGACAACCAGGGTTGGTGGCAGTTCCATTCAATTCAGTCAATTCATTGAAAAGCAATGAGGAACATTTGAATTTCAGTTTACTTCCGGAATTGACTGAAATGAAATGGAATTGACCCAAACCCTAGTGATGACAGGAGTAAACATTGCCTGCATGTAAACAGAGTTGCCAATAGAACTGGACTGTAGGATACACACAGACAGAGCATGTGGTTTTACCTTATTGTTGAGGTCTAGTACGTAGGTGCTGTGTCTCCACTTGGTAAGGACAATGGGGTCTGACTGTTTCCTCTCCAGGCTACGACTCTTGGGGGGATCGCCTGGCTGAGGGGGGGACACGTTGTACTGGAGGGAGGGAAGAAGGGAGTGAGAGGGGGGAGAGGGAGGGTGAGAGAAAGGGAGTGAGAAAAAGAGAGAGAGAAGGTGGGCAAGGGTGAGAGAGAGGGTGGGTGGGCAAGGGTGAGAGAGAGGGTGGGCAAGGGTGAGAAAGAGGGTGGGCAAGGGTGAGAGAGAGGGTGGGCAAGGGTGAGAGAGAGAGGGTGGGCAAGGGTGAGAGAACGGGAGTTCCAGGGTTAACTCGTTATCCAATGACCAGATAACAACACCAACAGAGTAAAGTAAAGGTCCTAGAAGAGGCGTGGCTTGGCATGTATCCAGTATCTCTTCTTCATACCTCTCCTCTCATGGCCCAGCGTATCATCAGTCATCCATCAGTTGGACCCCTTTCAGAGAGAAGGAGCCCCCCACCGGTGTCTTCTTCCAGGGTTGCTAAAGGATACCACCACACCCAGCCTATCTGCGTGTCTGTCTGCCTGCATCCCTGCGTGTGTCCACTCAGCCCGCCGGTTGACCAGCCAAATGAAAGCTAACGCCTATTCTTTACCTGTCTGATCTCTGCTTAACCAACAAGATTACAGGAGAGTAACTAGCCACTAATGGTCACTGTCAGGTACATTAGGGCACAACCTCTGCTCCGTCAATGGACTACAGGTGTCCAGACCAGTTAAGGTGATAAGACAGAGACTGGTGACTAGATCACAGTGGAGGAAATAGACTGATGCAGCGGTGTCATACGAGGCAAAGCCAAAACCAAAATCAAGGAAGAATCTAAATTGCATCCTCACTCCTCGCCTCCTTTTCAAAACCCATCGAATGAGAAAGCCAGAGGTCCCTCCCCTCTGGCCTTCTCCTCCAATGGGTTTTGAGAAGGAGGCGAGGAGAGAGGACCCGAGGAGTATGCAATTGAGATTCGCCCCAATTGGATGATCTCTAGTAGAAGTAATTCTAGGACGAATCCTCACTTCCACTTGAGTACAATCTTTACTTAGTCATGCATTGATGTCAATGATTCAATTTAAGTGGAAGTTAGGATTCGGCCCATACAAATAAATGAAAGACATTAAAATGTGTTGACTTACTTTGGGTAGTTCCCATTCGGACCTGGAGCCGTCTGCACTGTAGTAGTATAGCCTCCCCTGCTCGTCCACGTGCTTTATCCACTACAAACACAAACTCTAATGAGCACTGAACACAGTTTCATAATTCACATGGAAAATAATACTCTGTAAAAATACAGAACAATGGGTTATCAATGACGACCGGAAAACAGAGTATAGCAGGGTAGAAAGTTTCAAATAAAGAAGTAAAGAAACATTCTCGATCAAGTAAGAGAAATCAACAACCCGACATCCCCACAGTCAGTCCTCTCAATGGTATGTGTGGGATAACGCACAGTATTAAATTGAGCCATGACTACATGGAACTCTCTGCAACCCCAGGTAACTCAAGCTAGCAATAAAACAAGTTTAAAAAAACGATAAAAGAACACCTTATGACACAGCCATTATATATATATCTTGTATTGTAATTTGCACTGTATTATGTATTAAACCTAGATATTGTGTGTATGTACTGATATATAGGCTGTGTGTGATGTTTTAAATGTATGTATTTCAGTCCTTGACTAATAATGTTCTGTACTATGTATTATGTCATGTTTCATGTGGACCTCAGGAAGAGTAGCTGATGCCTTTGCAGCAGCTAATGGGGATCCTAATAAATACCAAATACCCATCCCCCATGAACCTATGATAACACCCTTAGCCCTGGGAGGAGTGACAGAGAAACGGAGAGAGTGAAACTAAAAGAGGAGAGCCCCAGTACCTTCTCATGAGTATGTTCACAGACATAGAGGGTGTGTCCGTGTTCATCCAGTTCCTCTGACCAACCTCTAGGGGGAGATCCATACTGACTGTCTGACTGACTGGAGTAGGTGCTGCTGTGACAGTTCTCCTCGGAAGACAGGGGCTGCATGAGGGGCAGCAGGGAGGGGGGAGAAAAGGGTGAGAAAGAGAGAAAAAGAGACCATTGTTATTCTCGGAGAACAGAGAGGTTTTTTAGAGTCATATGTAGATCGATAGATCAATTGATTGATATCTCAATTGCTCTTGTTTTGCCTTTAGAAGAGTTAGTAGTGAATGATCAAAGATGCAGCTGGAGAGTGCCCAAGTACCCATAAAAACAACCTTAATTGAAAAAGGAAAATGCCCAACCATAAAGTGCAACCACCACAGAAAAAGTAAACAGTTCCCAGGAAAAGGAGACATTGATCAACTATGGATATTTGTGTTTATTTCCCAGCATTTCATATGGCAAGTTGGAAACAAAGTAACAATCTGATAGTTCACATCATGGGGGGCAGTGTTGTAGCAGTAACATTACATGAAATCCAAATTGAGGACACTCTTACAGACTTTTATTTTACTACCTGACCGGGAAATATTTCCCCTCATCAAAATAGCACCAGCTTGTTTCCCTGCCCTCAGTTACCACAACACAACCTTTACAGTTAGTTGGAAATCAACTATTCCTCTATTTGCCTATACAAATACAGTACTTAATGCTTCCCACAGTAGTAATAGATGTAAACTACTGCCTTGCAGAGTAGACACAGGATATGTTCCAAATGGCACCCTATTCCCTATTTAGTGCACTACTTTTAATGGGCCCTGGTAAAAAGTAGTGCACTTAATAAGGAATAGGGTTCCATTTGGGAGGTACAGAGTCTATGCTTCAGTCAGCCGTGGTATTACATCTGATGAACCAGCGTCTCTCTAACTGGTACTTAAATATAGTACAGCTACAGCCTGAAACCTACTTCAGTCCTGACCTGGTTTCTTTAACACAGTTACACTCTCACCCATTACAGAAACACAGGGAGAGAGCCGTAATAGGATCTGGACTACCACTGAGCCAGACCAGTCACCAGACCACTACCTTTAGCCTCAAGACCTGAACCTGGGACCCAAGGCCACCTTTCAGAGCAGTTTGTTCGTTTCACGAAATGGGTGTCTTTTCCTTTGAAATTTTAAGAAGGAATTATGCACCAATAATGAATTTTAAAAGCCTGTTATTAAATGAAGTGCACTTTAATATAGACCATATGGAGAATTCAGTAAATCTGATTTTTAATATGAATAAAGGCTTGCTAAAGTGACAAAATGCAACATTTTGACATGTCCCTCCGTCAACCTTTTGTCAATTCTAGATTTCAACCCACTTAATCCAAATTTCTTCAAGTTTCACCATAATTGTAAAGGCCTAGTCATTTTGCTGCTTTGACAAAGTAATTACTGAAGATTATTATTTATATTGACGTGATTAGTGATGGATTTACGTCTGTCCATCATTTTAAAGCCAACCCTGTCATGCAAACAACTTACCCCTTTAAAATAATGGACCATTACACCAAGTTAAATTATTTTTTCATAGCAGGTGACATCATTTGGGTCTTCTGAACAGCATGGTGGAAAAGGAAGTAAGTCTTCTCTCTCTTTTTGGCCTACAGTTCCTTCAGAAAGTATTTACACCCCTTGACTTTTGCCACATTTTGTTGTGTTACAGCCTGAATTTAAATTGAGATTGTGTGTCACTGGCCTACACACAATAACCCATAAGTGGAATTATGTTTTTAGAAATTATTTCAAATTAATTTTAAATGAAAAGCTGAAATGTATTTAACCCCTTTTTTTATTGCAAGCTTAAATAAGTTCAGGAGTAAACAATTGCTTAACAAGTCACATAATAAGTTGCATGGACTCTGTGTGCAATAATATTGTTTAAAATTATTTTTGAATGACTACTTCATCTCTGTACCCCACACATACAATTATCTGTAAGGTCCCTCAATCGAGCAGTGAATTTCAAACACAGATTCAACCACAAAGACCAGGGAAGTTTTCCAATGCCTTGCAAAGAAGGACACCTATTGGTAGATGGGTAAAAAAAAAGCAGACATTGAATATCCCTTTGAGCATGGTGAAGTTATTAATTACACTTTGGATGGTGTATCAATACCCCCATTCACTACAAAGATACAGGCGTCCTTCCTAACTCAGTTGCCGGAGAGGAAGGAAACCGCTCAGGGATTTCACCATGAGGCCAATGGTGACTTTAAAACAGTTACAAAGTTTCATGACTGTGATAGGAGAAAACTGATGATGGATCAACGACATTGTAGTTACTCCACAATACTTACCTAAATTACAGTGTAAAAAAGGAAGCCTGTACACAATAAATATATTATAAGGCCAAATATACACTGGAGTTGCTTACCAAGATGACATTGAATGTTCCTGAGTGGCCTAGTTACAGTTTTGACTTAAATCTGCCTAAGAAATCTATGGCAAGACCTGAAAATGGCTGTCTAGGAATGATCAACAACCAACTTGAAAGAGCTTGAAGAATTTTTAAAAGAATAATGTGCAAATATTGTACAATCCAGGTGTGCAAAGCTCTTAGAGACCTACCCAGAAAGACTCACAGCTGTAATCGATGCCAAAGGTGATTCTAACATGTATTGACTCAGCGGGTTGAATACTTATGTAATGAAGATGTAATAGTGTTTTAGTTTCCATATATGTTTTTTTATTTTTATTTTATTTTTTTACAAATGTTGGGATTTTTCTTCCACTTTACAGAGTATATTGTGTAGATTACAATTAAATCCATTTTAATCCCACCTTGTAACACAACAAAATGTGGAAAAAGTCAAGGGGTGTGAACACTTTCTGAAGGCACTGTATTTATAATTGTTTTATCATCTTTGGCTGATGTGGTCGAGCTCAACATGTCAAGCCTGTTTGCTCAATGAATGTTATGAAAACTTTCATTATGTGTGGAACATATGTATAATTCCTAATTTCTTGAACACCATGTGGTCCCATGCACTTCACCACATGAGGAGTAATGGTCGATCTTCACCTAAAACCTCAACCCTGTTATCATCAATCATGTTAGAGGCCCAACAGTAACTTTATCAGTTTTATCTTATACTGTATGAGTGTATTGTACAAGGGATACTTGATCAATGAGAAAATGTTGGATTTATCTCAAACATGCTTTTAAATAATAGTTAAGGCAGTTGACAGACAGTGTTGACAGACAGTGTGGTACCAGTGCAGATAAAATGCTCTTAGTTCATAAGTTTTTATTGCCTGAGATGGGAAAAGGTGTTTTTCCGTAGGCTAAACATATCCTCCATGCAATTGAATGTTATTTTAATGTTCATTTCTTCAAAGTTTGCATGTACAAAAGGCACCCATTGCGTGGAATGACCCAGTTGTTGACACATTAGGATACAGATAGATTAGGTAGACTGTAAATCAGTGGCAGGGGTCAACATGCTGGGTTAAACTTCCTCAGTTGGATCCAAACCAAACTATTTGCCTTCTTTCCTTACAGCTCAGCTTCTGCTCTGACTACAACATGACAGTCAATGGAATGTGCATCTGTTTTGTTTGGGTGCACAGGGGGTGTGTTACCTACCTCCATCTCTCCCATGCCATGCGGGTCTCCCCGACTACTACTGGTACTGCCACTAGCATCCCGTGCGCGGGGCGGTTTCCACGTGCGCTCCCCGGTGGCTCTGTTATAGTAGAAGTGTCTACCAGTGAGGTCCTTGTGGGTCTCCCAGTCCCCAAGGATGTGCAGTGGGGTGCTGGAGGGGAGGGGGGGCAGGTTGGACTGGGAGATCTTCAGCTCCTGGAGGTTAGTGTAGACAGGGGACTCGGGCCGGCCTTGCCCCACCGGAGACGTCGTCTGGAGAGGGGAGAGAGATAGAGGGGAGAGGTCTTTTGTGAAAAACTAACAGAGTAGCATGGCCAGCATGCACTGACCAGAAAGGTTATATTTATGGAGAACTATGGAGGTACAATACAGAGCGGAGAAGGAGAGGGCAGTTTTAGATGAGGGATACAGAAGAAATAGAGCGAAGGAGACGTTAACCCTGACAGAACTATGGAGTACATAACAGAAAGGGGAAGGAGTGGAGAGGGTAGATTCAGAGCACAGATACAGTGATACAGTCTGCTCGGCAAGGCAGGAAGGAGAAGGAGGATGGGCAGCTTTGGCAATCAGACACGGGGTACGGACGGACATTGCAACATGCTGTATCCATCTGTTCCTAGCCCAGTGTCAAAACGAAATATGCTGCATGGTATCCTACATACTTCAAGCTATCCTTTTTCTGAGGTCGGTCAAATGCATTGTGCATCAACATTACTTATTAATCTCGTTCAAAATAAAAACATTACAATAAGATTCAATATTTAGCATTATTGGACATTGATTGGCCATTATTGGGTTAAATACAATGCCCACATTAGGAGATAATGATTTATAGAAAAGAGGAAGTGTTTAGGCAGATAGGAAACCCTCCTTCTAGTGCTCTGCGTCTGCAGTGATATCAACTGTCAATCTCTAAACCGAAGTACCCACTGATAATGGAGTGGAGACAAACAAACCTCAGCCAGCAAGTTCTACAAAAAACTCTAACCTGGAATTTAAACAGTTGGAACAATAACGAAACAGGGGATTCCAGGCTACAAAATGTACATCAACAACATATCTCAGGCAGTAGGAAGCTCTCTCATCCATTTATATGCAGATTAGTTTTATACTCAGCTGGCCCCACCGCGGATGTTGTGTTAAACGCTCTACAACAAAGCTTTCTCTGCCCTTAACCTTGTTCTGAACACCTCCAAAATAAAAGGTCATGTGGTTTGGTAAGAAGAATGCCCCTCTCCCCACCAGTGTGATTACTACCTCTGAGGGTTTAGAGCTTGAGGTAGTCACATCATACAAGTACTTGGGAGTATGGCTAGATGGTACACTGTCCTTCTCTCAGCACATATCCAAACTGCAGGCTAAGGTAAAATCTAGACTTGGTTTCCTCTATCGTAATCGCTCCTCTTTCACCCAAGCTGCCAAACTAACCCTGATTCAGATGTCTATCCTACCCATGCTAGATTACGGAGATGTAATTTATAGATCGGCAGGTAAGGGTGCTCTCGAGCGGCTAGATGTTCTTTACCAGTCGGCCATCAGATTTGCCACCAATGCTCCTTATAGGACACATCACTGCACTCTATACTCCTCTGTAAACTGGTCATCTCTGTATACCCGTCGCAAGACCCATTGGTTGATGCTTATTTATAAAACCCTCTTAGGCCTCACTCCCCCCTATCTAAGATATCTATTGCAGCCCTCATCCTCCACATACAACAGCCGTTCTGCCAGTCACATTCTGTTAAAGGTCCCCAAAACACACACATCCCTGGGTCGCTCCTCTTTTCAGTTCGCTGCAGCTAGCGACTGGAATGGGCTGCAAAAAACACTCAAACTGGACAGATTTATCTCCATCTCTTCATTCAAATATTCAATCATGGACACTCTTACTGACAGTTGTGGCTGCTTCGCGTGATGTATTGTTGTCTCTACCTTCTTGCCCTTTGTGCTGTTGTCTGTGCCCAATCATGTTTGTACCATGTTATGCTGCTACCATGTTGTGCTGCTGCCATGTTGTGTTGCTACCATGTTGTTGTCATGTTGTGTTGCTACCATGCTGTGTACCTAGTGTTGTGGTGTCTCTCTTGTCGTGATGTGTGTTTTTTCCTATATTTATATATATATATATATATATATATATATACACTGCTCAAAAAAATAAAGGGAACACTTAAACAACACATCCTAGATCTGAATGAATGAAATAATCTTATTAAATACTTTTTTCTTTACATAGTTGAATGTGCTGACAACAAAATCACACAAATATTATCAATGGAAATCAAATGTATCAACCCATGGAGGTCTGGATTTGGAGTCACCCTCAAAATTTAAGTGGAAAACCACACTACAGGCTGATCCAACTTTGATGTAATGTCCTTAAAACAAGTCAAAATGAGGCTCAGTAGTGTGTGTGGCCTCCACGTGCCTGTATGACCTCCGTACAATGCCTGGGCATGCTCCTGATGAGGTGGCGGATGGTCTCCTGAGGGATCTCCTCAAAGACCTGGACTAAAGCATCCGCCAACTCCTGGACAGTCTGTGGTGCAACGTGGCGTTGGTGGATGGAGCGAGACATGATGTCCCAGATGTGCTCAATTGGATTCAGGTCTGGGAAACGGGCGGGCCAGTCCATAGCATCAATGCCTTCCTCTTGCAGGAACTGCTGACACACTCCAGCCACATGAGGTCTAGCATTGTCTTGCATTAGGAGGAACCCAGGGCCAACCGCACCAGCATATGGTCTCACAAGGGGTCTGAGGATCTCATCTCGGTACCTAATGGCAGTCAGGCTACCTCTGGAGAGCACATGGAGGGCTGTGCGGCCCCCCAAAGAAATGCCACCCCACACCATGACTGACCCACCGCCAAACCGGTCATGCTGGAGGATGTTGCAGGCAGCAGAACGTTCTCCACGGCGTCTCCAGACTCTGTCACGGCTGTCACATGTGCTCAGTGTGAACCTGCTTTCATCTGTGAAGAGCACAGGGCGCCAGTTACGAATTTGCCAATCTTGGTGTTCTCTGGCAAATGTCAAACGTCCTGCACGGTGTTGGGCTATAACCACAACCCCCACCTGTGGACGTCGGGCCCTCATACCACCCTCATGGAGTCTGTTTCTGACCGTTTGAGCAGACACATGCACATTTGTGGCCTGCTGGAGGTCATTTTGCAGGGCTCTGGCAGTGCTCCTCCTGCTCCTCCTTGCACAAAGGCGGAGGTAGCGGTCCTGCTGCTGGGTTGTTGCCCTCCTACGGCCTCCTCCACGTCTCCTGATGTACTGGCCTGTCTCCTGGTAGTGCCTCCATGCTCTGGACACTACGCTGACAGACACAGCAAACCTTCTTGCCACAGCTCGCATTGATGTGCCATCCTGGATGAGCTGCACTACCTGAGCCACTTGTGTGGGTTGTAGACTCCGTCTCATGCTACCACTAGAGTGAAAGCACCGCCAGCATTCAAAAGTGACCAAAACATCAGCCAGGAAGCATAGGAACTGAGAAGTGGTCTGTGGTCACCACCTGCAGAACCACCTCTTTATTGGGGGTGTCTTGCTAATTGCCTATAATTTTCACCTGTTGTCTATTCCATTTGCACAACAGCATGTGAAATGTATTGTCAATCAGTGTTGCTTCCTAAGTGGACAGTTTGATTTCACAGAAGTGTGATTGACTTGGAGTTACATTGTGTTGTTTAAGTGTTCCCTTTATTTTTTTGAGCAGTGTATATATATACATATATATTTTTTTTATCCCAGCCCCTGTCCCCACAGGAGGCCTTTTGCCTTTTGGTAGGCCGTCATTGTAAATAAAAATTTGTTCTTAACTGACTTGCCTAGTTAAATAAAGGTTAAATAGAAAAATACAAAATAAAATACAAAAGCTCTAAAAACTACCTCAGACTGTAAAAATTGGACACACAAATGAGGCTATAGTTTATGATATTGTCAAGACAAGAAACAAAAAGACAGCATGTTGCATAATAGTGTATTTTGAGAAAAAGTGCAGAAAGCAAAATGCCAGTGTATTTAAAGTTAGGGGGAAACAAGAGTTGGCTTTGTCAACAGTTTAACATGCCACTCTGTCTGGCCCATACAACAAACACAGTCACCGAGTTTTGGTTTCCATGACTACGGACAATCCAAATGTACCACTGCTGAATAATATTTTGGTTTTGGAGTTCGATAGTGAGGTGGAGGTACAGTAGTGGTAGCCAGACTGTTGTCTCTGGTTTGGGCCCAGGGTCAAACTAACATTGTGTAAAGTGGTATTCACAGAAGTCGTAGCTAGACCTCGATAGAAAACCACCCTACTAGACCCCATGGGTCAAACACATACTGTAAATATCTCAAATACTTGAGCTGCATTTGATTTAGTATGTACTGTACAATGGAACCAATAGAATAATCCCAAAAGTGCAAACTCCAAGTTAAATCAAGCACACCTCAAATACATACAATAGGCCAACAGACTATCACAGCTTATTGTGAAATAGACACAAATTACTTATTCAAAATTCTTTCTTCATAACGCATTCATGTACCATTACAACAAATTCCAATTTGTTGTGGCTAACGTTAGCTAGGCTAGGGGTTAGGTTTAGGGGTTAAGGTTAGGGCTAGTTAACATGCTAGCTAAGTAGTTAAAAGGTTTAGGAGTTAGGTTAAAGGGTTAATGTTAGGGTTATGGGAAGGGTTAGCTAACATGCTAAGTAGTTGCAAAGTAGCTCAAAAGTAGTAAGTAGTTGCAAAGTCGCTAATTAGCGAAAATGCTAAAGTTAGCCATGATGAGATTTGAACACGTTCACATTATACACCCACCCATCCTCCCCGATCAACCTCCCTCCTATTGTTTCTGTCTTAAGTAACCTACAGTCTTTATCTGTAATTTAAATGCACTGTATACAAAATCGTGTACTGCTCACACACAAAAAAGATTTGTTTCTTGTGCCTGTCACAAATTTCACAATAATCTGTGATACTGGGTTGAATAGGCCTATGTATTTGGACCCAGCTGGCCATTGCTGATTCACCATATAGCACTCAGTGCCATAGGCTGTCTGCCTAGTTCTGTATTGTCTTTGTATTGAAGACAAGACAAGCGGAGCCTGGCAGGTGAGGAATTCTAGAGGAAATGCAATAGAACAGAGGGGGAGGGAGTTTGAGTAAAAACACCAGACAGTACAGCCAGACAGACATTCTCTAGCACAGATGGGGATACCTGCTGGGTCTGGAATAATAGGAATTTACTCAAAAATAATGATTTAATATCCTGTAGAGCTGCGTTGGAATAGAATGAAGTTTGCAGTGCATGTGAGTGTCTGTGTGTGCAGCAGGAAAGGCCCTATTGTTTGTCTATTGTTATCAAGTGTTCTGACTGTGGCTTTGGTAAAAGACATGGGCAGCTGGGAGTGAATACACTAAAGAAGGCTCTTTAGGCGAAAGGTCTGTGTATGATTCTAGTGAAGTACAGTGAAAATAATTTACAAATGGAAAAATGCTGCATCATTCGTGTGGGGACCTACTATATTTTCTACAGCTGGGTGTCAGTCACAGAGCCCTAAGGCTCAGATAATAGTAAAGCAAATTTTACATTGAAACTCAGCTGTCAAAGGCCAAACTCAGCAGGGGAACTGAGAATTAGAATGAGAATTGGCATGCTCTGTTATAAATGATAAGAATAGCATATGTAAATCTGCCAAAAGTGATATGCCATACTCAAACGAAAGGTTAGGTGGTCAAAATGATTGGCAATACAAACTGTAGTGTTTCCTGAGAAGGCACTTTTTTTAGTGCTCACTGGCATACATTTATCATATCATTGTGATTTCTATAAGTAGTGTATTGTTCTCCTCCTCAAAATTGTGAGTTCATATTATCCAGTCCACATCAGCAGGGAAGGACTCCAGAAATTTACTTAACAGTACACACACACACTCCCCTGAGAACTTGTTTGCATTATAATTACTCTGCTCTGATCTCCTTTACACTGTTCTGTTGAGAAGAGGTCTCTTTCTAGTGCCTCAAAGCTTAGCAGTAAACTCAGAAATAGACTGACTACAGTGAGAGCCAAGAGAAACGAGGTGCACTCATTTGCTAAATGGGATGGACTGTATGAAATAAGAGTTAAATAAAGTTAAGTTTTACGTTTTTAGCTCCTGGAAGGTTCCCTACACAGTGCTGAAATAGGCCATTTAAGACAAAGTCAAGAAGATACTTTATGAAGCAACAGCCTATTTATTATACTTACAAACAGGCAAACATTTTCAACATACATTTTAAAGAATAAGCTGAAAGTATATATCAAGTACAAGTATCACCTACTATGTCACTACTAAGTCAAACTAAAGACCTCCCACATTGTCAGATAGCTATATCTGCTTCAGTCCGTCACCTTATATCCTGGGCTGCAGACAAACACCTCATCCTCCTCCTCCTCTGTCCTGCTGTAGCCTTTAAACGTACTGAAGCGGCTCATGGCTGATGGGTTGCATCAGCTATACCTCTCTTCTAATCTATACCTCTCTTCTAATCTGTCTGTCCCTATCTCACTCTTTCTCTATTTCAGTCTCTCTCTATCAGTCTATTACGAAACTTAGAGAGAAACTTGAGATACTGGCTCTCTGTCAGAGAGCCAGAGGAAATAAGATATCACTCCCTTTGCCAGACGAACATACATGATCGCACGCACGCGCACGGACACACACAACAGGAAGTGGTAGTGAGAGTTCCCTCCCCCAGTGTTTTCTCTGTCACAGACAGCGACTGTGTGTACACGCGTGTATATGCCTGCGTGTGTGCATGTGTGTGTGTGTGCCTGCATGCTTGCTCTTCTGTCTGTGTGTATGTGTGTGCCTGCGTGTATGTGTATGCACGTGACCCTGACTGCATGTGTGTGATGTTTGTGTTTAAAGTTAAACAGGGTCTCTATACCCCGACGTTGGGTCACAATGAGCCCAGAGCAGTCACAGTGTTGAGTGTTGACAGATGAACTAGCCGTTAGGGGAGTGCTCAGGACAGACGGTGTGTGAGCCATGCATAGATACTATATTTATACTGCTCTATACATTCACAAAAGGGTGATAGAAACAACATGTGCAGCAGTGAGATCAAGACACGGCGGGGGATACTATAAACTGGAAGGGGGGTTGACTGTTGGAGAGTTGAGCTGTTGAATGCAGAGTGGTCTTGCCTTGTCTGTCCACCAGCCCAGGCAGACCCTGATAAATGAGTTCTCCACTCAGGGTGAGTAACAGTAACGGCCCAGTAGCAGATTAGAATGCATAATGCAGCCCTGTAGCTGGAGTAGACTGTGGGTGCGTTCCAAATGGTACCCTATTCCAAAATGGTGCCCTTTTTACTTTAGCTGGGAGGAGATATGGGATGATTAATTCATTCTGAGTTAGGGGGTTAATTGAGAATTTGGCAGAGGTTAAAGAGAGGCAATCGCCTTGCATGTTGCAATATGGTACACTACATGACCAAAAGTATGTGGACACCTGCTCGTCGAACATCGCATTCCAAAATCATGGCTATTAATATGGAGTTGGTCCCCCCTTTGCTGCTATAACAGCCTCCACTCTTCTGGGAAGGCTTTCCACTAGATGTTGGAACATTGCTGTGGGGACTTGCTTCCATTCAGCCACAAGAGCATTAGTGAAGTCGGGCACTGATGTTGGGTGATTAGGCCTGGTTCGTAGTCAGCGTTCCAATTAATCCCAAAGGTGTTCGATGGGGTTGCACGATATTGGAAATAACTGACATTGCGATATTTTGTTTTTCTGCGATATGAAAAAATACAGGATGTATGTATGATCCTCTGGGAAAAATGCAGTTTGCAAACAGCGACTTTTCAGGTGGAAGTCCTCATTAATAAAGGGTACGGTCAGACTAATGTAGGGCTCCGTTGTCCGGCTGGACCACAAATCCGTTGTTGCTGTATAATATTACACTTGTGACAGCTCTGTTTCAACTTGTGCCTTGCATTTCTCGTACAACTCTGGGATGGCAACTTGAGAAAAATAGTTGCGTGATGGCATTACATACCGCTTGTCAAGCGACCGGATCATGTTTTTAAAACCCTCTTTGGTAACCGTGTTAATTGGTACCATGTCTTTGGCGACGTGAAATGTTATTGAATCTGTGATTTCTCTCTGCCGTTTGGAACCTTTCTCGTATGGTGTAATACTGGCAAAGGCATCCGAAATAGATTTTTGCTTTGGAGGGCATTGGGATGCTTTGCACTCGTCATACGAAGATGTGTGGTGCCGCCTTAAATGATCGAACAAATTGGTCGTGTTGCCTCGTGTAGTGGCAACAATTGCAAGGCACTCTCGACAAAGTACCTGTTTTTGGTCAACCAAATTCTCAATTTCGGTCTTTTTTGTCTGTTCCTCGCTCATCATTTCGTCACGCGCAAGCAGAGCCTGCATGTCAACCACGTGCAGCAACGAACTCCGTGTTTATAATAATAATAATAATAAACTGTGTATCCAATAACCCATAAATCGGAGTAAATTACATTATATCAGACAGATATAATGCTAGTTTTAACATTTAAAAAATATATATATTGTAGACTGATATGTTTACCTTACTAAATCGCACGTTCTGGAATGTGACTATTGCCGATGCATATGTCGATGCTGAAATGATATATCGTGCAGCCCTAGTTGCAGTAAGGGCTCTGTGCAGGCCAGTCAAGTTCTTCCACACTGATCTCGACAAACCATTTCTGTATAGACCTTACTTTGTGCACGGAGGCATTGTCATGCTGAAACAGGAAAGGGCCTTCGCCAAACTGTTGCCACAATGTTGGATGCACAGAATCGTCTAGAACATCATTGTATGCTGTAGCGTTAAGATTTCCCTTCACTGGAACCAAGGGGCCTAGACCAAAACATGAAAAACAGCCGCAGACCATTATTCCTCCTCCACCAAACTTTACAGTTGGCACTATGCATTCAGGCAGTTAGCGTTCTCCTGGCATCCGCCAAACCCAGATTAGTCCGTCGGACTGCCAGATGGTGAAGAGTGATTCATCACTCCAGAGAACGCGTTTCCACTGCTCCAGAGTCCAATGGCGGCGAGCTTTACACCACTCCAGCCAACACATGGTGATCTTAGGCTTGTGTGCGGTTGCTAGGCCATGGAAACCCATTTCATGAAGCTCCTGATGAACAGTTATTGTGCTGAAGTTGCTTACAAAGGTAGTTTGGAACTCGGTAGTGAGTGTTGCAACCGAGGACAGACGATTTTTACGCGCTTCAGCACTCGGCGGTCCCGTTCTGTGAGCTTGTGTGGCCTACCACATCATGGCTGAGTACATCACTGGGGCCAAGCTTCCTGCCATCCAGGACCTTTATACCAGGCGGTGTCAGAGGAAGGACCTAAAAATTGTCAAAGACTCCAGCCACCCTAGTCATAGACTGTTCTCTATGCTACCGCAACTATTTTTCTCATCTCTCTCCCCATCCTTTACAGCAGAATCTGTGTGCTATGTAAGCTGTAAAATAAATGAAGTCATGAATCTCACTGGCATGTTGTGCGGGTCAGTGTAAGGGCAGAGAGCAGTGAGAGACACTCTTGCAGTTCTCCTATGTGGCCACTAGGTGTCACCCTCAGGCCACAGGAATCCGGGAGTGTGTGTGTGTTCACTGGCAGGCTGAACACATGGCATCCCACTCCAGCACATTCCTTCCTCTCTGTTGCACATTATCCATCCACACCACCAATGCACTGCTTCCGGGCTGCATCCCCCCAAGCTCCCATCTCTCAACATAACGCTCCAGACACCCCATATAAATGTCTACTCACAGAGACAGACGTGACCTCAAATCAAATCACATTTTATTTGCCACATGCGCCAAATACAACAGGTGTAGACATTACAGTGAAATGCTTACTTACAAGCCCATAACCAACAAGGCAGTTAAATAATTTTTAAAAAAAAGCAAATAATTAAAGAGCAGCAGTAAAATAAAATAACAGTAGGGAGGTTATATACAGGGGGTATCGGTCCAGAGTCAATGTGCGGGGGCACCGGTTAGTTGAGGTAATTGAGGTAATATGTACATGTGGGTAGAGTTAAAGTGACTATGCATAAATAATAAACAGAGTAGCAGCAGCGTAAAAGAGGGGGTTGGGGTGGAGTGGGGCAATGCAAATAGTCTGGGTAGCCATGATTAGCTGTTCAGGAGTCTTATGGCTTGGGGGTATAAGCTGTTAAGAAGCCTTTTGGACCTAGACTTAGCGCTCCGGTACCGCTTGCAGTGCGGTAGCAGAGAGAACAGTCTATGACTAGGGTGGCTGGAGTCTTTGATAATTTTTAGGGCCTTCCTCTGACACCGCCTGGTTAGAGGTCCTGGATGGCAGGAAGCTTGGCCCCAGTGATGTACTGGGCCGTACGCACTACCCTACCTGGACACACAGACAGAGACACACACACACCGATGAACAAAGAGTCCATTCCATTTGAATATTCAGATACTCTCTCTTAGGGATGGAGTGTATCAATGAATCTCACTGTAGTAAAGTGTTTATGGTGCAACCCATAAGCCATATTGGATGTTCAGTGTGTACTGTAGTCAGTCCCACAGGGACAGCTAATGTAATGCAGGGCCAGCTCAGCATGTTGTCTTACTGTGACCAGGTTACATAAGAGGAACACTGGGTAATTCAATTAGAGTGAAGTAGGTTAAAGGAATAGTTTACACAAATTACAAAATGACCCTTTGGTTTTACCCTGTAAGCAGTCTATGGACAAGGTATGACAGCAATCCATGCTTTGGTTTTATTTCCATGGCACTGTTTCCAAATGCTAACGTTTTAGCATTTGCGGCACAACTACCATTCAAGTCATGGAACCGATATTAGAATTGCTCACGCAAGTGCACATCATCCGAAAGTATCTCAAATGTATTGTGAAGCTCAACAATGTCACTTAAAGAGGAGTTGAACAAGATGCGCGAAAAATGCTAATATCGATCACATGACTTGAATGGGATTTGTACCACAAGTGCTAAATGGGATTTGTGCCATAAATGCATTTGGAAACAGTGCCAGGGAAACTAAACCAAAGCATGGATTGCTGTCTTACCTTGTGTACAGACTGCTTACAGGGTAAGGAAACCGATGTGTCATTTTATAATTTGGGTGAACTATCCCTGAGTCACTCCGGTGGAGGGATGGAGGGTTGGAAGGTAGAGAGGGGGCTGCTGACTTGCTCCTCGCTCTGTGGCCATGACGACACACACACGAACGCATGCACACACACACACATACTGTAAGCACACACACACACACACACACTAGTCAGACGCATGCGCGCACACATCTAATAGTAACTCACATGGATGAGTAGAGTATTAGAGCATGGTTTGACGGATGACGCAGAGGGTCGCACCCTCTCTCACCTTCTGCACCTCGTCCTCTCTACACATTGATCCAATCTTCTCTCTGCTGATTGCACATCCATCC